GCCACTGAGTCTTCTTTGGCTAGAACCCAAACCTGCTGCAGATCCACAAGTCTTTTGAACGGTGGGAAGGAATCGGGACAGCCTCATTCAGTCAGCAGGATATGAATGTAAAATATAGGCTGTCTCAGTAAAATAATGCACTTATTTAGTCCTCCCGCTGCACATTTTGCTTGTGAATGAGACAAGGATGGGCTGGAGATTGGCCAAAGAGTCCCCGGAATTCTCCACTTCTCCTTGGAGGTAGCAGACGAGGTCAGGAGCCGTCGTCGTTGCTTCCTGTGGAATGTTCCCAGTAAGCTTCATGATAGCAGCTCTCCTGCATTCTTCGTAGAGCTCGTTTTCTGCAAGGAGATTCCACATCGGTTAGAGGAAGGAACACAAATGCTGCTTCCATCCAGCTAAAAACAAATAGATGACCTCTGGCAGCCCTTTCTAATTTGTGGCATTTACCTGGCCTTGAAAGAGGCTGCAGCTGTATGCTTTAATCTTGTTGACCTTCTAAGCGAAAGCAGCTGTGTATGAATATGGCATCTCCAGACAGCGTAGAGGCTTTGAACTTGCAAGGAATATTTTCACAACTGCAAAAATTATTAAATACAGAGGAAAAAATTGAGATAAAATTGGAATACTTGGAGTATATAACAATAAAATATGATGAAAAAACTGAGGTTGTTTTTCAAATGCAAAATAAGAGGCCTGAAACTCAAAAACCCGAAATGGAAGATAAATATAAAGCGATTAAACTTGGTGATATTTATGGCAATTGGTTTATTTCTGGAAAAAGAAAGAATGGAATATTAAAAGAGGAATTAAATCAAGAGGAAATTTATTTCAAAGGGCAAGATTATAGAAGAAGAAAAAATTAAAGACTCTATGGACTATGAAATCCTATCTACAAAATATTTGATAACACTGCTGACAATCAATGATAAGCTGAACAAGGAAACAGAAAGGGCATCAAGACTACATGAGAGATCTTACAAACAAGGAGCTGCTAAGAGGAGTCTATACAGATTTGATTAAGAGGTTGTTTGGAGGACGGTTTCCACAAATGGCAGAAGATATGAGATTGTTTTGTTACTGGAAAGATACAGGTTGATAGATAGCAGAATATAATTTAAAACTAGCTAAACCTAGTTAAATTTAGTGACAATAGGTACAGTTAAATAAAAATGTGATAATGATACTAATGTATACAATGTGTAGTGTTATGATAAGCAATAATTGGATACGGATATTGAATGATACCCGTGAAGGGAAGGTTAGAAATTCTTTTGGATTATATATAAAGGTTAATAATAATAATAACAATAAAAAAGAAATAATTAGACAAGAGTTAAATTTTGATTACTAGGGGGAAAATGTTATGATATAGGATATAGTCAAATAAAGCATAATGATAAATATATATATANTAATTGGTGATGGGGTTGGGGAGGAGGGGATGGGGGTGTGGGACTCAGCAGGGTGGGAGGAAGGCCCAAAGCCTAAAGTGACTCTAAGGGTGGAGTGGAAAATGGAGGGAGATGGGCAGGGGGAATGCTGCAGAATTCTTTGGCTCAATAGTAGGGGAAATACCTGGTAGTACTAAAGTGGCTGTTACTTTGAAACTGGATTGTCGCTAAGCCACCAGTCGGAAGTCAAGGACTACCTGTAATTAATGCTGACAAACTCAGCCAGTGTGATTCTGGGTGGCATACCACAGGAATCAAAAGAAAAAAGAGACAAGAAGCCAAAGTATAAACAGAAAATCTAGAGTCTGAAATCCAGATGGAAGAAGGGGTGGCTAAATCAGACAGCTACTGAGTCTTCTTTGGCTGAAAGCCAAACCTGCTCCAGATCCCTAAGTCCTTCAGATGGTGGGAAGGAATCTGGACAGACTCATTCGGTCAGATGTAAATGTGAATGTAAAATAAAAGAGGTCTCAGCAAAATAACGCACTATTTAGCCCTCCCGCTGCTCATGTTGTTTGTCAATGAGACGAGGATGGACTGGAGATTGGCCGAAGAGTCCCCTGAAATGTCCACTTTTCCTTGGAGGTAGCAGACGAGGTCAGGAACCTTCAGTGTCTGTTTTGTCGCTTCCTGAGGAATGTTCCTAGTAAGCTTCGTGATAGCGGCTCCTGCACTCTTCGTAGAGCTCGCTTTCTGCAAGGAGATTCCACATTGGTTTTGGAGGAAGGAACAGAAATGCTGCTTCCACCTGCCAGAGGACATCCAACACGCATGGATGACCTCTGGCAGCTCTTTCCAATTTATGGCATTTACTGTACCTGGCCATGAAAGGACCAGAGGCTGCACCTGGGAGTTCAGCCCCTTCAGTGACTGGCCATTGAAATGAGGCTCAGCCATTCCTCCTCATGCCAAGCACCATGGCTTCCCCTCCGCTCTCCTGTCCTCAAAGGACCATGGATGTTTGGAGGCCAAGGCTGCAGGCGGGAGAGGCGTCTTTTTTGTCTCTTACAATCTGCCCTCACAACGCAAAACTCAGCAAGCTTTTGAAGTCTCTGGTCCTTTCAT